CCCTCGGGAGGCTGGGCGCAGGCCGCGCGCCCGTGCGGCCCACCGTGCAGCCCACTGAGCTCCCGGCCCCTCGAGTTCGCACCACTCTCGGTGCAGGACGGACGCCGCTCCGGGTCCTGGGCGGCCGGCAAGGCCTGCATCTGGCTGCCTGGAGGGAGGGAGGCCGTCTCCTTCTCCCCGGGGCTGGGAAATGGATCTCTAAAGGCGCTGCCTTCCAAGTCCTCCTGGTCCAGCCCCCCTTCCGCTGCCCAGGCAGACTCCAGCCCCTCAGACTCTCCCTCCAGGCTCCTCTTCTCTTTGCTGGCCAGCCAGGTCTCTGCTTGGAGGGGACACATCCAGTAAGTCGCATGTCCCGTGTCCAGGCCACCAGGCCCTTTGCTCTCCTGGTATCTGCAGTATGGGCCTCGGGGAGCTCGTCACCAAGGGCCGACCTGCTCTGACCCGGCCTACTTGGTCTCCCCTGGCCTCTGCCAAGGTCTTGTCCTGTCTATGTAATGCCATCCAAACACCCTGACAGCCCTGCGATGAGCCTTCCTGCAAGCATCCCCTGACCTCCTCTCTGCCCCTGCTCCAAAGCCCCCCTGGGACCTGCCCAAGACCAGCAAGACAGTGCTTTTCCAATCCTCCCTTCCCCCCAACTGTCTGTGGCACACACAGCTTACCTACAGGCCTTCCCCTTATCTACACTGAAAGGACACACGCTTTTTCCTAGGGCCCTGTCAAAACTTCCATCAGCTTCTCTGGCCATAGACTTAGATCTTTCCTCTTCTAATGTGACACTGTCTGCCTGTGTTCCCGCCTAACTGTAAACTCCTTAGGAGGGTAGGAGACCCCATACCCTATGTGAGGCCTGTAGTGCGCAGCACCATGCTGGCTAACGTTCATAAAATAAAGCCAGCAAACCATATCAAGAATAAGAAGACAATAGTTTCATGCAACTGTATGGGAAGCGCCCATCCTCCCCCCAGCAAACCGGCGAGGCCACAGAGAACAAAGATAACAGGTCACCTCCTTGCTGCTGCTCCCTCTGGGAAACTCACATAGGAGAAAGCCCTGCTAAGGGTCTCAGAGACCCCTGGGGGAGGGGGGTGTTTTATGTTCCCAAGACACAGGACTGTAGCCCTGCCCACAGAGGCTTACCTGAGCTCAAGGGTGTAGTAGCCATCGCCTGCAAGTCCCTCCCACATGCCTCTTGCTCTTGCTTGATCCAGGGTAACACTGCTGCAGGGGGCCCCAGCTGACCAGTTTCTAAGGGGGAGACAAGGAAGCCCTGGGGCATCAATCACAAAGCACTCCCAGCAGAACCATGTCCCAGCAAAGGCAGAGCAGACCCCATGTAGCATGGTAGGGGATGGTGACCAGGCACCAAGAGCCTTCCCCCCATCCCTTTTGCAGTACTGGAGCACCTAGTGTTTGACAGTCTGTGGAACCCCTAGCCCCAAAACAAAAACCAGGTTTCGGGGTTAGGAAGGTGGCTCAGTGGTAGAGTGCTTGCCTGGCATGCACGAGGGCCTGGGTTCGATTCCTCAGTACCACCTAAGCAGAAACATCCAGAAGTGGGACTGTGGCTCAAATGGTAGAATGCTAGCTTTGAGCTGAAGAGCTGAGGAACGGCACCCAGGCCGAGTTCAGCCCCCACGACCAACCAAAACAAAACAAAAAAGCAGGTTTCCAGATGACCAATGGCACATGAAGAATGCTGGCTGCATGGCTGACAATTTACCTAGTCTCTCTGCACCTGAGTTTCTTCATCTATAACATGAGGAGACAAAAAGGCTATGATAAAGTCAGACGGATCAGTATTTACAAAGCACCTAGATACTAAACATGTGTTTACTAACTAGAACAAAATGTGTTGCCTTAGATAAGAGTATTCCTTCTCTCCCCTCCTGCTTCTTCCTTCATGGTTCTGACATGGGAGTGAGTCACCTTGAACTGTGGCAGCAATGCCAGAGCCTACAAAAGCAGAGCAACAAGTCAGAAGGACCAGGTCCGGAGCACCCTGCCCACCAAGCCCTGTTAGAGAAACTGAAACTCTCCATTAAGCTACTGCTCTACTGTTTGATCTCATTCAGCAGCCTGTGTAACACAGGACCCTGAGGTCCCAAGTTACCTCACCAGTCTGTGCCAGTCTCTAAGGCCCCTATTATGAAAGGAGTGGCTGCCAGATATGATGGCTCACACTTGTAATCCTACTCAGGATCTCAGTACAAAGCTCACTCTGGGCAGAACAGTCCATTAGACCTCATCTCCAAAGTAACTAGCAAGAAACCAGGCTCAAATGGTGAAGTATACAAGCTAAGCAAGTAAACTGACAGAATAAGTGTGAGGTCTTCAGTTTAAATAGGTATGCATAAATAAACAAATAAAGGAAGGCAAAAGGGGCTGGGTTACACTGTCAGTTCAATTCCCACTACAACCAAAATAATAACAATTATTATTAGTAATTGATATTATTATTACAATTGCTCCACCTTCCTGACCTGACTTGACACAGGATAGGCACACTTTTTGTTGAATGAATAGGTGAGTGAATGAATGGAGAACTTCCCAAGGTACTGATCTAGTCACGTAGAGAACACACTGGACTGCCTGCCACACACTAGGCTGGCTGGCTCCACTATTAACCAGAGTCCTGAAAGTCAAGCTCTTAGATTTTGACAGTTCAAGTTTCAGACAAAGATGTCAACAGAAATTTACTAAAAGATCTTTAAGACACACTCTTGAGAGAAAACAAGCTACAGACAGTACATAGTACAGGACTGGGTTTTTATATTATTTTCTCATCTTGTGTATGTGTGTGTGTGTGAGTGTATTTCAGTACTGAGGCTTAAACTCAGAGACTAGACACTGTCTCTTAGCTTTCTGCTCAAGGCTACTTACTACTACTAACCTACTACTCTACTGCTATAACCTACTACTCTACTACTTGAACCACAGGTCCACCTCTGGCTTTCTTGGTGGTAAATTGGAGATATGCCAGGTGCTGGAATCCTAGCTACTCAGGAGGCTGAGATCTGAGAATCATGATTCAGAGCCAACAGGGGCAAGAAAGTCTGTGAGACTCTTATCTCCAATTAACCACCAGAAAACTAGAAGTGGCAATGTGGCTCAAGTGGTAGAGCGCTTGCCTTGAGCTGAAGAGCTGGGGGACAGCACCCAGCACCAAGTTCCACAGCTGACCAAAAAAAATTTAGCCTCCTAAATAGCTAGGATTACAGGCATGAGCCAGCAGTGCCCAGCATATTTTAAAACCTTGTATTTTTCGTTTGTTCTGTTTTTTTTGGGTCCGTTCGTGGGGCCTGAACTCTGGGCCTGGGTGCCGTCCCTCAGCTCTTCAGCTCAAGGCTAGTGCTCTACCACTTGAGCCACAACGCCACTTCCGGCTTTTTTCTTTTTGCTTATGTGGTGCTGAGGAATCGAACCCAGGGCCTCTGGCATGCAAGGCAAGCGCTCTACCACTGAGCCACCTTCCCAGCCCAAAACCTTGTATTTTTCTACAGTGCATATTTATGTAAATGCATGGGGGGGGGAATCTAATAGGTTACTGCCAGAATGATCATAGCAGCTAGACTGTGAGGGGGGTAGGAGGGGGAAGGGCAGTTTGGCCTAGGCAGGTGGTCAGTTGAAACTCTTTCACTTCATACAACCTCTGCTTAGTGAGAAAGTACTTATGTGTGAATGCATTTGTATAATTCATTAAAAAATATACTTCTAGGGGTTGGGGATTTTGCTCAATGGAAGAATGCTTGCCTTACTTAGCAAGTATAAGGCCCTGAATACAGTCCTCAGCACCATACAACATAGATAGATAGATAGATACACACAGACACACACACATATTCCTACAGTGACAAATGCTCTCAAAGGTTAGCTGCTGATCAGTGTGATGGCATGTAAAACTTCTGAACCTGTGGACTGCAATGCTCAGACTGAATGAGGACCTGCTCATGCCTTTCTCAGACTTTTGGCAGTTGGTGCTCCATTGGGGAAACTTCTAGTAAATAAAGCAGACTTGCACACACAATCTAGTCTGCTGGTTTGTGGCAGAGTATGGAGGCAGCTCCTTGGAGCAAGGACTAGGCCTGGGATGAGGTGGGCGGGGGGGAAGGGAGGCAGGGGGAAGCCCTGTGGATGAAGGAAGAAAACCCAGGAGGGCAGGACACAGACAGTGAGGGCCAGGGCAGAAGGGACAACGGGGGTGCAGGCAGCCTCAAATCCTCTGAGGACATGCCACCCCCAGGCATGCCCCAGCCCCGAGGGGAGCTGTGGGAACCTAAGGGGTACACTGGCTCAGCCCATTCTGCATCTGCCTGGGAGCGGTGCAGCCTCCTCCAAACAAGGGCTCTATCACTCGAGCCCCTCCTCCACTTCCAGCTTTTCTTGTGTTTGTTTGGTGCTGGTCCCGGCCATAACTCAGGGCCTGGGCACTGTCCCTGAGCTTTTTTTTTTTTTTTTTTTTTTTTGTGAAAATACCGTACAGAGGGGTTACAATTACATGGGAAAGATAATGAGTACATTTCTTATCAAGCATTGTAGCCTCCTCCTTTGTTTCCCCTTCCCATCCCTTCCCATTCCTCCCCTGCCCCCCTCCCTGAGCTTTTTTGCTCAAAGAGAATACTCTAGCAATTGAGCTGCAGCTCCACTTCCAGTTCTTTGATAGTTAACTGGATATAAAGACTCTCACAGATTTTCTTTCCCAGGCTAGCTCTGAACTACAATCCTCAGATCTCAGGATTATAGCTGTAAGCTACTGGCACCCAGCTCCATCTGGTATGTTTCACATCATTACCAGTTATATGAAATTGCTGATACAAGCAGATAGGCTGAGGCAGCTGATGAGAAGCACTGAAGTCTACCCTGTCATGCCAAATGACTTTCAGGGCCTTGTAGAGCATGTGGGCTGGATGTTCCACACCCCAGGCAGGAGACACGCAGGACAGCAGCACAGCACCTGGTCTGTCCAGGTGGTCAGCTGGCCGTAATGTCCAGCAGTGTACATCCCCTACCTTTGCCCGTGTCTCCAGGCAGGATTCCTGACACCAGGTGAAGCTGGGAGGCCCAGGGCCACAGGCACGGGGGACTCTGCATGCCCACGCTTTCACCCCTTTTGCCCCAGGCAGGCCAAGGCTGCCCACCTCATCTCCCCTGTCCAGTGCACTTGGACACTCCAGCTTGGCAGTGGCGTGGTCTGTGGGGAGGAAGGGAACGGTGACAGGGCTCTCCTCTGCAGGCCTAGCACAGGACCCACCCACCCCTCACTGCCATTCCAGCAGTGTGTGGCAAACGGTAGAGGACACCTAGTGGAGTGAAGTGAAACCTCTCCCTAGCCAAGCCAATACAGCAAGAGACAAGGATAGGAAGAAGGGCATCCGTCCTGCCACCCACATAAACAGAAGTCCCAACTCACCTAGCCTAGCCACCTTGTGTGACACTGAGGAAAACTAAGGCCCAGGAGAGGACTCAGTTATACATGGCACTCAGCTCTTGGACCTCTTGCTGCCTTCCCTCCTCATGCTCACTCCTGTCCCCAAGCTGGACAGCCTCCCTCACCCTGCACCCCTGCAGCATGTCCGCACTCTCTTCTTTCAAAAAAGAATTCTCCTGGAGGAAAAGTGAGACACCCAAGCCTCACTGGAGGTCCTCTCTTCCCCCAATAAGACGAAAGAACAGGCAAACAGCCAACTGCCCAGAGCAGCGAGGGACTTCAGGTATACACACAGGTTAGCCAGCGTGTGGGTGCAGCTACAAGTCCCTAGTTCTCATCAAGTCTCACACATGCGTGCACTCACCTGCCTGAGAAATCTAATGTTTACACTTGGTCCTAAACATTAAATGCATGCTCACATTCAGCAGGAGTTGAGAATCTCCAGGGTGCACAGTAAAGAGATTGGGAGTCCTGGGGTGAAAATATAAAACTGGGGAGCCCTGTGCCTGAGAAGTAAACACGAAGGACTAGGCGTGAGGAGCAGATCCTAGTCTGTGTTCATTCTGCAGGAGCCATTTAACCTTTTTGCATTCACTATGGAAGACCTGAAAATGGTTACCAGACACTCTGTCCAAAGGCAGGGGACTGATCTCAATGTGGTTGTACTTTCCGATCCAAATCCCAACAAAGTGGATAAAAGGATAAAATCAGGCCCAGAAGTCCCGGGGGGTGGCCTCTTACCCAGGGATCCCAGCGTATCCTGGCACCCCTTCGCATGCTTGCAGAGTTCCTTCTGCCAGTCTTCTGGACAGCCTTCCTGCTCGGAGAAGCACCCAGCCATGTCTTCAGTACTCACGGGAACCTGGAAGTACAGGTCCCCAGCACCCTCAGTAAGTTACTACAACTTCAGCGAACAAGCCAGAATCAACTCAGTCTCCTCTCCCCTCTCCCAAGCCAGAGGACACCTCTGGCCCAACCTCTGGGCATATGACAGCTCCCGTCTACCACTGGCAAGAGCCAGTGGCTGGGGACACAGGACCACAGCTCTTGGAGTTCCCACCACTCTCCTAGGTACACGCATACCTTCTGTTCTACATGTGAGCTATAATTGTACTAGTCCTCGCTCTCAGAGATCATTCTAGAACAAGATATGCCATACAACCGTTTCCCTCCCAACAACCCCGCTCCACTTGCCAAAGCAGATACTTTGCCAGACACAGCATCCTCCTGACATTTCTAAAGCCCCTTCAAGGCCACTGATCACTAGTATTAGGGACCAAGGTCAGGCTTCAACAGCCAAAGGGCCTCCCACCATTCTTCCTGAGAGGGTCTTAGAGTCAGTTCAATACCCTGGGGGCCTCGCCCTTGCTGCCCGGGGGCAGCCGCAGGACCCAGAAGTTCCTGTTCCGCAGCAGGTTCTCCACGTTCTCCAGGCGCCGCTGCAGCAGCCCGTACTCCTGCAGCAGGGTCCCCAGCACGGCCCACTTGCCCTCCAGCTGGTTCCCGAACTCCACGGCGGTCTTCTCGCAGTCGGCCAGCTTCTTCTCAGCTGCCCCTGTTCGTACTTCCAGGCTTTGAAGGTGGACAGCCTGAGACTCCATCTTCTTCTCCACTGCCTGAACAGTAGCCAAGATGGCCAAAAGGGAGATCTCTGCAGACTGGATCTGGGCCTCCCGGTGGAGGTCAGTCCCCACGTGCCATTCCTGCAATCAGACATGAGACAAGTCATCCCAAGAGAGGGCCCAGAGCCATTCCCAGACACAGGAAATCAGGGTTTCCCTGGAATGGGGGAGACTTCTTTCAGATGCCAAATCCTTCATTGATCAGGCTCCAAATGTCATGGATCCTTCAGGTAAAGAAAATCTGTGGGGCTGGGAAGGTGGCTCAGTGGTAGAGTGCTTGCCTTGCATGCCTGAGGCCCTGGGTTCGATTCCTCAGCACCAAATAAGCAAAAAGAAAAAATGCCGGAAGTGGCACTGTGGCTCAAGTGGTAGAGCGCTAGCC